CCTCCTCCATGCCCATCCCCCCCTCCCCCCCACATCCATCAGTCCTCAGTTTTTGTCAGCATTCAAGAGTCTCTCATGAATCAAGAGAGGGTTTGCCTCTCTCCCTTTCCCCCACCATTTTCGCCCTTCTTCTCCCCCTTGTTCCTCCGTCAAGTTCCTCCTAATCCTCCTATATGTGCAAACATATGATATTTGTCCTTCTCTGCCTGACTTATTTCGCTCAGCATAACACCCTCAAGGTCCATCCGTGTTGCTACACACAGTGTAATCTTTTTAAATTAAAAATTTATCATGTCATCCTCTAGATTAAAATGTTTGGAAACATTTTCTTTACCACAAGAAAAATTCCCCATTTGTAACTAAAATGCAATTACAGCTTAATCACCAGTGCTTCTCAGTACTCCATATTAAACTGCAAGAACTTCCCCCTAAAATGTCCCCTCTCCATATATTCATCCATTTCCACTTGCCTGGGATACAATGCAGGGAAGAGGTCTTATTAAATCAAATCAAATTAAAGTGGTCTTAGCAATGGTATCATATTGTATCAAGGTAAACAGACCAAACTAACTTGTGCAAAGGAAAGTCTCAATGAGAATAGTTTTAAATAAATGGAATGTATAGAAAAATGAATTGTTATGGTTTAAGTTACCATGCACAAGTTTTCCTTAGAAAAAAAATAGTTACAGGCAAGATGATCACATATTGATCGTATGGGGGTGCTTACAGGCAAGATGATCACATACTGATCTTATGGGGGTGATTTCAACACAAATGCACCTTTACTTTGATGTTAAATTTTCTTTGAATTTCCTCATCTCTGGACTTTTCTTTGATACTAATGAATTTGTTAAATTTTACTTAATTTTGCTAACATTTGTTTTTTTCTTAACAGTTTTAAACTTTTTATGTGCCTTGATTTTAACTCTGGTCTTAACCAAATTCAGAGATTCTTTTAATTTCCAAAATTTTTTCAATATGTAGTTATGGCTTTGTGCTCATTTTTGTCCATCTTTATACTGTATGCATTTATAATGCAATATGTTTATTATGTCATAAGATTATTCTGCTCACTGTATCAAAATTATTGAGAAAAAGTCTAAATTATTCATATATTTCAAATTATTAAGCCTCTTGTTATGTGTGATAACCAACTGTAATTGACACCATGCTTTACTTAATTTTTTTCACTACTTTAATATAAAATCAAGATGTCTCCCAAAATTGTACTTTACATTTGTTCATTTATTTGGAAGATTCAGTACTTTTTCATCCCATGTCTTATATTGCCACAATTGCTTTTCTTTAAATCTAGAAACGTCATGAAATTTACAACTGAGGATTTTCTCCTTGCAACTGGATTGTGAGTTCCATAAAGTAAACAAAACACAAGTCATATTTTCATTTTACAATTTGCTATGTATATATAGTATGTTTCCCTTTACTTAGAGATCAAAGAATTTAAGATAATTTTTCAACTTAATTTACCAAGTATATGTATTAACCCACTTTTTAGTCTAGGTATTTTTTATTTACAGAATTTGTAAACTTTTGATTTAGAAGAACAGCAATATTTCCTTTAAAACAAATTCTATAAGATCAGTCTTTGAAATCTGAACTGTATAATCAACACATATAAAAAGAAACAATTCTTCCTTAAGTCTAATATGATCCATAAGGAATATAATAGAGATCTTATAAATAAACGCACACATGTACAATCAACCAATTTTTGACAAAGATGACTAGACCATACAATGGAGGTAGGATATTATCTTCAATAAAAGGTGATAGAAAAACTCAATAGCCACATGCAAAAGAGTGAAATTGGATCTCTATCTCCTAACACTTGAAAATTAACTTCAAAGGAATTAAAGACTTTGACTTAAGACATGAAGCCCTAAAACTCCTAGGAACAAAGGAAAGGATCCTTGACATTGTTCTTCTCAATCATTTTTTTGGATGTCATACCAAAAGCAAAGGCAACAAAAGCAAAAATAAATTTGAGATTACATCAAACTAAAGGAAAAGCAAAAAAAAAAAAGTATCAAGGAAAATTCTCAACAGAATGAAAAGTCATCCTATGATATAGGAGAGGATATTCACAAACCATATATCTAATAAGGGATTGATATCCAAATTATAGAAGGAACTCCTACAACTCAATAGGAAAAAAATTAAAAATGGGTAAAAGACCTGAATAGACATTTTTCCAAAAAAGATATAAAAATGCCCAAAAGCTACACAAAACGGTGTTCACTTGCTGGAGGCAGAGCTGGCTCCAGCAGGTCCAGGGGTCCCTGAAGGATGGACAGTGTCAGCGAGAGAGAGAGTGAGAGAGCCCCGAGATTCTTTCTGATCACCAGGCAGGCATCTCTGTCCTGTCGGTTTTGGTGACTTTATTTACAGATTCAAAAACAATATGAGGTCAGAGAAAGGAATTCTTTTACAATGGAAGGTCTTTTGCGATGAGAACTGCAGAATTATCCCAATCATAGTGAATTTATGCCCAAGGAAATTACAGGATGCTTTTATTAAAAAACAGGATAACATATAGGTTGAGTTGTATATAGATAAGCTAGGAGTTATTCTGTCTGGCTCTCAAGAGGATGAGTGTTTCTGAATTGGTTTGCCTGTGGAAACTACCAAAGGGGGCTCTATATGTATCAGTCTTTGCACCTGGGTTTATGTTTTAATTACTCTTATCTGTCGTCATCCCAGCTGCCAGTGTAAGGGAGGATGTTTGTGGAGTGTAGGCCTTGAGGAAGGGACTGCCATACATCACCAGTTAGTAAGTAACTATAAATTAGGTTCTTCTGACATGGGACCAGACTCAATTGTACTCTTGTTTTCTTTTTTTTTTTTTAATTTTTAATGTTTTTTATTTACTTCTGAGAGAGAGAGAGACAGCATGAGCAGGGGAGGGTCAGAGAGAGAGATACAGAATCCAAAGCATGCTCCAGGCTCTGAGCTAGCTGTCAGCACAGAGCCCGACGTGGGGCTCGAACCCATGAACTGTGAGATCACGACCTGAGCCAAAGTCGGACGCTTAACTGACTGAGCCACCCAGGCGGCCCTGTACTCTTGTTTTCTTAGCCCCCTTTATTATCTAAGTCTTGGATTTGCAAGACCCATAGAAAGAGCCTTTTGACAATTACCCACAGAGCTTTCATCTAAAATCTCTTTTTGTAAAGGCAGGAATATGCTTTTCCTTATGAGGTATCTGTGTTCAGAATATTGGTCTGATATGGAATATTGTGAGGCCTGGTCAATACTAGCAGCCTCATTTCCAACATGAGCCAGTAGTAGCAGAAGAAGATACCAGTTTTCATTTCTTATGGCAGGAGCTGTGCAAACACTGCCATTTCCTTGCTGTGACTGCCATCCAGAGAAGCCGGTGCGGCTTCCGGCATTCACTACCACTAATCATCAAGAAATGCAAATGGGAACCACAATGTGATATGGGCTTACCAATTAGGGTGGCTATTACCAAAAGACAAGAAATCAATTTTAGTAAGGATGTGGAGAAGACAGAATCCCTGTACACATTTGGTGGGTAAGTTAGTATAGCCATTGTTGAAAACAATATGGAGGTTCCTCTAACAATAAAAAATAAAACTATCATATGATCCAGGAATCCTGCTTTTGGGTATATATCTGAAGGAGGCAAAATCAGTATCTTGTAGAGATATCTGCACTCCCATGATTATTGCAATAGCCAAGATATGGAAACAATCTAAGTGTCCATCTGTGGATGATGGATAGAGACTATATATATATAATTATTATATATAATATTTCATATGTATATTACAAACCATTATTCAGACATAAGAAAAAGAAGGCTGTCCTGCCATTTACAAGATGATGAAACTGAAGGGCATTATGCTAAGTGAAACAAAGTAGACAGAGAAATGCAAATATTATATAATATCACTTACATGTAGAATAAAAAAAATAGTTGAATCAATAGAAATAGAAAGTAAAATGATGGTTGGCAGAGGATAGAGGAGTGGAGGAAATGGGGAGAGATTGGTTAAAGGGCACAAATTTTCAGTTATAGATAAAGAAACTTTGAGGATCTAAAGTACAGAATGGTGCTATAGTTATTAATACTGTATCGTATACTCAGAGTTTGCTATAAGACTAAATGTTAAGCATTCTCAGCCAACAGAAGAGAAAGGGAACTATGTGAGGCAATTAATATATTAATTAACTTGATGATGGTAATTATTTCACAATGTATATGTATATCTAATCATCACATTGTATACTTTAATATATGCAGTTTTATATGTTAATTATGCTCAATAAAATATTTTAAAATATATTAAATGTCAAGTCAAATAATTGAAATTATGGAACAACACTTTTTCACTTTTTTTCAAATCTCTTTTTATATTATTTTACACTCAGGTATTATCTGGAAAAGAAAAGTATTTTCCTCAATAAGTCTTAGGGGATGCCTGAGTAACAGAATCTATTATTTTAGGTAAAATTCTTAGCTAATGTTCAGAATGAATTGTTAAATAAAATTCATGCAAATTAAAAATCTTAATATCACCAAATATCAAGGGTTGTAATAAACTGAAGATTAAAGACAGTCATGAGGCACAGAAGAAATAGAAAAAAATACCTGGTCATTGAGAGCAGCTTCTTGTCTTTTCACCCTGGGTATGTACTTCTTGCCCAGAATGATGCATGAGGTCCCCAAGTAAAAGTCCATACAGTCATGTCACACGCCAGAGAGGGTTTCAGTTTTGAAATATCTCCATTTTATACTTCAGAAAGTTCTAAAACTTACCATGTCTCCTAAATCCATAGATCCTGGCTATCAACTATAGGAATCTTCCTGTTGTCTTGTTAATAACGTTCTAGATTAGAATTTTTGCAAATATTAGTTTAATCATCCAGAGTTCCACTTGGCAAAGATATATTGAATATGTAACCAGTACTTTCTCTTGTTTTCTTAGGTGTGTGTCCCAGGAAAGAGAATAAATGAGGTGCAGATCCACTGCTTTCATTCTTTCCTCCCCAGGTTCATTTGGTGATCAAATCATCAAACTTGAAGAGAACCCATCAAGGAATAATCTACTGTAGAGTTTGCTAAAGTGAAGGTAAAAAAAGCACCTAGCTTTAAGTTTATACTAAAATCTAGCATACTAATAACCCTCTTACTACTTTGTATCTTTCACTTAGAAAATAAAAATAAATAGACAACCTAAAAAATAAATCAAAAACAGCTAAAGATGTAAACAAAAACACAAAAATAATAAATACACGTGGCTCTGGTAATCAACCAAGGCATACTAAAAAAAAGGATGATGATAAGCAAAGACATTGACAGTTTGACTGCTTTGATTGGAGTGCATAGTATGCTAAGAACATTATTAAAGAGAAAAGTGATATGGAAGGAATTTCTTCTCTCCTCATAAGCCAAGAAAGAAAAAAAAGAAGGAAGGAAGGAAGGAAGGAAGGAAGGAAGGAAGGAAGGAAGGAAGGAAGGAAGGAAAGAGAGAGAGAAAGAAAGAAAGAAAGAAAGAAAGAAAGAAAGAAAGAAAGAAAGAAAGAAAGAAAGAAAGAAAAGACTGCTTTTCATCTTTAAATCCCAGAAATCTGTGTTGGAGGAGTCAATAAATTAGATCTGTTTGAAAGTTGCCAAGTATTTTAATACTGCTTTTCCCAATTTTATCATTCTCATCTATAGTGGTATTCAGGTTTTTTTTTTTTAACATAACCAACTAAATAGAAATATGTAACATTTCTGATTACAGTCTTTTCTTAATAACATCTGTGAAACTCAATCTTTCCATAATTATTGTCTTATGACCTTAGGAACTATGCAGCTGAACTATTATATTATACTATTTTCTGTTTACTTTAAAAGGACATGCTCTAAATTACTTTTTTTTTAATGGTTAACATTTATATATTGTGGAGAGACAAAGACAGAGCATGAGTGGGGAAAGGGCAAAGAGAGAGGGAGACAGAATCTGAAGCAGGTTTCAGGCTCTGAGCTGTCGGCACATAGTGAACATGTGATTCAGACTTGTGAACCATGAGATCATGACCTGAGCCAAAGTTGGATGCTTAACCGACTGAGCCACCCAGGCACCCCATGACATGCTCTAAATTCTAATGTATCTTTTTTATTTTTAAATGTTTATTTATTTTTGAGAGAACAGAGAGCATGAGCAGGGGTGGGGCAGAAACAGAGAAGGAGACACAGAATCTGAAACAGACTCCAGGCTCTGAGCTGCCAGCACAGAGCCCAACGGAGGGCTGTCTTGGGAACAGTGAGATCATGACCAGAGCCGAAGTCGGATGCATAACTGACTGAGCCACCCAGGCACCCCCTAACGTATCTTTTTAACTTAAGTGTAAAATAAAATTTGATGAATACTACTAGGTCTACTAAAATTTGATGTAAGTGGTATGTTTCACTCCCAGGAAAATAAAATTATAGTGTCATTTTTATGCTGATGATAATTTTCATAATTATATCAATTTATGCTTTGATTTTTATTGTGTTACAAAATCGGCTTTTTACTACAGATAAGAGTAAAGATAATACACAAAAGAATAGTGTATTCTTTTGATGGAGAAATATATTTTTGTGGAATAATTTAGTTACTTTTAAATTTTTTGCCTCCAAGCTTCTTAACTTTTTTAAAATTTATATTTAAGTTAATTAATATATAGTGCAATAATGATTTCAGAAGAAGAATTCAGTGATTCATCACTTATATATGACACCCGGTGCTATTCACAAGTGCTCTTCTTAATACACATTATCTAAATGCCCCAACTCCTACCCACCTCCCTTCATGAACCCTGTTTGTTCTCTATTGTTAAGAGTCTCTTGTAATTTGTTCCCCTTCTCTGTCCCCTCTCCCCATATATTCATTTGTTTTGTTTCTTAAATTCCACATATGTGTGAAATCATGGGATATGTCTATCTCTGACTTTTTTCATTTAGCATAATGCATTCTAGCCCTATCCATATCATTGTATCATTGCAAATTGCAAGATTTCATTTTTGATGGCTGAGTAATATTCCATTATATATATACCATATTCCATTACACATAGTGTATATAGATACAGATATATATTCCCATATAAATACCAATTCCATTATATATAATATATATATTATATATATAATATATATATAATGGAACCAATGGATATATATATATACACACTATATATAATGGAATATGTATGTGTGTATATATATATATATATATATATATATATATATACACCAGTCTTCTTTATCCATTCATCAGTCAGTGGACATTTGGGCTCTCACCATACTTTGGCTATTGTTGATAATGCTGCTATAAACATTGGGGTGCATGTACCCCTTTGAATCTGTATTTTTATATCCTTTGAGTAAATACCTAATAGTGCAATTGCTGGATCATAGGGTAGTTCTAATTTTAGTTTTTGAGGAAGCTCCATACGGTTTTCCACAGTAGCTGTACCAGTTTGCATTCCCACCAACAGTGTAAGAGGGTTTCCCTTTCTCTGCATCTTTGCCAACACCTATTGTTTCCTGTATTTTTAACTGTAGTCATTCTCACAGGTGTGAGGTGGTATCTCATCGTTGTTTTGATTTCTATTGATTTCTATTTCCATGATGATAAATGAAGTTGAGCATCTTTTTATGTATCTGTTAGCCATCTGGATGTCTTCTTTGGAAAAGTGTCTATTCATGTCTTCTGCCCATTTCTTTACTGGATTATTTGATTTTTGACTGTTAAGTTCAAGAAGTTCTTTATAGATTTTGGATACTAACCCTTTATCAGATATGTCATTTGTAAATATCTTCTCCCATTCTGTAAGCTACATTTTAGTTTTGTTGATTGTTTCCCTCGCTATGCAGAAGTTGTTCATCTTGGTGAAGTCTCAGTAGTTCATGTTTGCTTTCATTTACCTTGCCTTTGGTGATGTTTAGTAAGAAGTTGCTCTGGCCAAGGACAAAGAGGTTTCTGCCTGTGTTCTTCTCCAGGAATTTGATGGTTTCTTGTCTCACATTTAGGCCTTTCATGCATTTTGAATTTATTTTTGTATGTGGTGTGCGAAAGGGGTCCAGTTTCATTCTTCTGCATGTTGCAGTTTCCCAACACCGTTTGTTGTTTCCTATTCTGTTCTGTTGATTATATTTGAGTCTTTATTGATTTCAAAAAAGACAGGTGGATTTTTCTTCTAATATGGACTATTATTTATTGCTATTTCTAGTGAGAGTCTTTTCTTTCTTATATTATGGAATAAAAATCTGTATGTCCTTGAGGCTTTTTTCAGATTACCCATCTTAACTAATGATAAAATTAGAAACTGTTTAGTTCTATTGGGTAGGTGCTGCAGTAATTTCTTCTTTTGTTACCTCTTTTTACACCACCAGAATTTTTAAAGCTTGAGTACCACCTGGGTTTTCTCACAAGAAGAAAAATATCACACATGGAGATGTGTGATAGTACAAAATATTTATTTAAAAGATGATGTTTTTTAAATAGTATGTCAAGCTATAACTTACTTTGTGGTTATACTTCTTTTACAGTTGTAAAAATAAGAATAAATCTAAATGATATCACGTACTGAAAACCAAATTAATAAGAATAATAAAGTTCTATATTTATTTCTTCCCTTGCAAGAATTCAAATTATTCAAAGTTGGAATTTCTATTATGACTTTGAGGAATTTCCTTAATCAATAGGAACTTCAATTTCTTTACCCATAAAGTGTGATAGTAATATGTATTTACTATGATTATTTTGAAAATTAAAATGGTTAACAATTATATTGTACTTATCCATGACCCAGAGACTGGTATTCGTTAAAAGAGTGTGATTTTTATTATTAGATATGAAATGTTATTTGGTCTCTTGAGACAAATTAGCATTTAGCCTTTTCTTTGGTTAATGGGAAGGGGTAGATCAAAGTGGGGAAGAAAAGACCTACCCTGTAGGTAAGAAAAGACCTGTAAATGTATCACATTTGCAGCATTTATGCAAAAAGTTTTGCGTAGTTAATTGTTTAGACCTAGGGAGTAATTTTCCATGGAAACAAAGCTATAAATGGTAGCTAGTTCCTCAGACAAGCCCACATAACCCTATTTAGGCTATAATGTAGTTGAAATAATGTGTAATTGCAACGGAAAATAGTAGGGAAATAATACTGTTGCAATACTACCAATTAAACAAAACAGAAAAAGTAGAATAAAAATTAGTTCTCTTTATTGAATTATCGGGCTGACTGAAAAACATTTAATTAAAAGATGAAGGAATTATCACCCAAGATTCTGTAGAAATTCTGAAGGTCACTTTATGGTATTTTCAGAAGCTTTTGGGAATGATTACACTACTCATTAAAACTAATTTGACTTCATTTTAATTTCTTTTAACTTTCTGTTTTTCCACTTCAAATACAATGAGGAGATAATTATGAGGAAAAGAGAAAATGAATATAGAGAAACTATTCTCCTGATATTGGAAGAGAGAGTAGTTCAGAATGGGAGAGAGAGGAAAAGGCAGGTTATTGAAGAGGGAGTGGGAGTTTTTTGAGAAAGGAAAGGGAAGAGAGGGCAAGACTGAATGGAAGTAAGGTACAAAGGAATAGTGAAAAAGGACGAGAGAGGATTGAAATTTGTTAAAGTTATATGCAATGTGACACATGGGAATTTAAAAAAAAAAAAAGACTTAATCCATAGCATCAAGATCTTATTGCAGTATGAATCAGCCTACTGCAAAGGTGAAATTTCATTAATATCTTAAAATTTCTAAAACAAAATTATAAATTTGCATTCTATAAGAAAAAAAGGATGAACTCACTGGACATTAATGACTTTTCTCAAATTCATTAGAGAACTGAGGTCATGAGGCAAACTACCACACAGAAATCTGAAATACAGCAGAGTCATGAGATTCCTAGTTCAGGTCAACTCACCGTATACTGATAGGAACACTTAAGAAGGTAATTTTAACAAACTTCTGGAGACAGAGTAAGAAACCCTGAAAATCCCAGGATTTTTTTGGTGGGGGGGGGGCTTTAGTTTTGTGGATTTACCTACAGGAAACTCATCGGGTTCTCAATATGATGATCCTAGAAA